GAATGTGCCAGTTCTGGAAAGCCGGGGAAGGGGCTGCAGTGACAGTGGCCAGCAATGTGGCACAGGGCAGGTTTCCCAGCCCATGGACCTCATAGGGTAGGGCGCAGATAGCACTGTCCTGTTCCACAGCTGATAATGGCCAGAAAATCAACAGAGGCCAAGTAGGCATGGGCCCAGCCCTAACCTCTTTCCAGCCACACCCCACCTTGCCCCTGCCTTGCTTACCAGCACCTTCCCCACAAACTGTTCCAAGGGGAAGACAGCAGACAAACACCGCAGGGGAGGCAATTGGGCCATCTGGGAGATGGGAATGATGTCATACCCAGGTAGGCCATGCTGTCCTGCATTCCTAGCCTGCCAAGACCAAAGTTTCCATCTAGCAAGGAGTCCTCCTGGCATTCAGGTGAAAGAGGATGCTGTCCAGATCAAGATGGAGTCTTGCTTGCAGAATCTGGAGTACGCGAAGGGCCACTCTTCCCTAGTGCCCTCCACCTTGTGGCATCATTCACATTAATGCAAAATGGGCATCAGGTGCTTCCCAGAGCAAAGGGTAGCACTTCACAGGGAACAAATGATTATGCAAGATGTCTGACAAATCACCTTCCAAAATACCCAGGTCTGCATTAGTGGTATCTGCCAAGCAGTAGCAGATGTCAGAGCCTTGCAGCTTACCTTGCCTTTGGAGATATCAGTGACCTGGAGTTTGGGGATTTCCTTACTGTAATTTTACGCGACACTCGTCAGGCCACAGCTGGAGTATTGTGTCCAGTTCTGTGCGCCCCATTTCAGGAGGGATGTGGACAACATGGAGAGGGTCCAGAGGAGGGCCACCCGCATGATCCGGGGACAACAGGGCAGACCCTGTGAGAGTGAGAGACTGCGGGACCTGAACCTGTTCAGCCTCCACAAGAGAAGGCTGAGGGGGGACCTGGTGACCGTCTATAAACTCACTAGGGGGGACCAGAAGGGTTTGGGGGAGACGCTGTTTCCCCTAGCGCCCGCTGGCATAACAAGGAGTAATGGGCACAAGTTGATGGAGAGGAGGTATAGATTGGACATCCGCAAAAACTACTTCACAGTTAGGGCGGCTAGGAGCTGGAACCAACTTCCAAGGGAAGTGGTGCTGGCCCCTACCCTGGGGGTCTTTAAGAAGAGGCTGGATGCCTACCTGGCTGGACTCATTTGAGTCCTGTTTTTGTTTTGGGGTTTTGTTGTTCTCCCGCCCTGGCGGGGGGTCGGGCTAGAAGATCTACTAAGTCCCTTCCAACCCTAAATCTATGAAACTATGAAACTATGCTAAGTGCATCAGTCCTGGAACAGAGATGGTCACAAACAGCACACATACAACCCCTCACTCAGGAACCTCAGCTCAAAATTCAAATACCCAGTTCCAGTATCTGAGGGAGCAACTCTCCCTCTGAGAGATCAAGGCAAAGAATAAGCTCTCTTGCTCCCACCACAACTCCCCCCAAAGACAAACTGTATCAAAGAGCTTACCCCCAGTACAGGTAAACACTGCTTGTAAAACCCTGCGTGACAGCACCACCTGTTCCATAGCTTATTATGGACCAACTGGCGGTTTGCGGGCTGCATCCAACCCACAAGAGGTTAACGTATAGCTCAGGTCCCTTCCCAGCTGTTACTCCACTTCCAGAGGGTCTCTGGAGCATGCAGCCCCTATAGAAGGTGACCTGAGTGGTACGCAGCCTGGGGGCTGAATCCAGTGCAGTGTGCAGCCACCAATCACTCCAAAGTTGGACAGCCCTGAAGTAGGCTTGGACCCCTGGATCCCTGGACTTCAGTGGAAGCAAGATTTGTATCCTGGGTGCAGGGCTTGAGCTTCAAGTACACTGTCATCAAAGAAAGCCCTCAACAGCAAAAAGTTGCCTCTTGCAGCTTCAAGTGATTGATCACCCTTGCTTTTCCTAGGATAAGCACTAACTAATCCCAGTACCATGTCTGTGGGAATAGCAGGGAGGGGGAAAGGGGATTCAGCAGGATAAGAAAGCTATGTGTGCAAAGGAATTCTTGAACATAAAAGCACCCTTGAGCCTCTACCTACCCTGGATGACTTCTAAAGGTGCTCAAGAGATTTTCTCCTGCTTGCTTACTATGTTTGAAAGAAACAGTCCTGTTTAACCTGCCTTTGCTTTGGGTGATTGGAGAAGTAATAGTCTCCTAAGAAACCAAAAGTTCAGCCACTGAGAGAGGAAGGAAATGGCAGTGACCCTGTGTATAACACATTTAACTCAAAGTCCTGACTCACACCGGGGAAAAAAATCTCTCTTTGTGAAAGAGAGTAAGCGCCTCGCCCAGATTCACTGTGAAATACTGAGCAGTTCCCATTAAAAAGCATTTAGATGGCTCCCGATCCTCATAAGTGGTATGGGAAAGTCTGCTGGGTCCCTGCCCTGGGAAGGGGATATGTTCTCCTTAAATAGGAGACAGGTGAAGGGTTTTTTTGCAAGCTCTTGAGTCTTCTTCCAAAATGTGAGCTAGGCTACATCCCTGCCTCAGCCCTGGCCAGAAAAGGTAGCATCCACCAGACCTATCTGCCACCTGTTTTCATCCAGATCCTTTCAATGTGGGATGCTCTGCTCCCTCCTGTCATATATCTCTAGAGGGAGAGTCGGATGGGAGAGGCTTGTGGAATGAGCTATATGTTTGATCCTGAATGAAACACTCTTCCAGTGTCACATCCCAGCTGCAATCACGATCAGATGTGGAGCTGACAGGACTCAGCACTATTGAGTGCCTGGCCTGTTGCCACATTGCTGCAGGCTGTGCTTTCATCAGGGCTTGTAAGCTAAGCAGGACCAGGTCAACTCAAGGCCAGAATGGAGCCCTCAAAAAAAACCCTGGTGGCAGCTGGGGTGGGTGATCACACTTGCTGTGCTTTCCTCTTGAGGTGAGGATTGAGCCTAGGCTCTAGGCTGGGGTTAGGAGAAGGAGTGAGTTACTAGGAGGACTAGTTCAGCTGAGACATGATATTGTAGCCATTTAATTGGGTGCTGTGGTGCTGCTAGGGGTTGTTCAAGAGCTGCCATGTCCTACTGCCCAAGTGGCTGCCTGGGGAGGTGAACTGAGCCCAGAGACAGACTCTGAAGCTGAGACCCTGGTTATGTCTCCTGCTGGCTCTGCCTTAACCTCCCACTCAGGCAAATGGGGATAATAAAATCCAATTGCCTGTCTCAGACAACGAATCAGACAATGTCTGTGCAGGCCTTTGAGCTGGCTGGTGGGTGTGTGCCTTTAGTTCAGAGTGAATGCAAGCTCTTAGCTCCCATAATGCTCTACTATCCCCATATAAAACCCTCTCCCCTGAGCTTAGTGGTATTTTAAACCCAAACTCTACTGGCACATTTAGATGAAGGCCCACATGTTGCTCTCTCTCTCAGGCTGGTACCTGCAGACACAGGCTAAATCATTTGAGTACTGAGTCCTCCAAGGCCTTTCCACAGATTCCTTGTATGCCCAAAAGGGCAGATGAGATCCCCAATTCTCTCCATACAGAAGCTCTGCTTAGGAGAACTACTGACAGGCTGGTGAGTACACTGCCAGTGAATACAAGAACCTGGTAAAGGCTGTGCACTGCTGCTGCTCACACAGTCCAGGCAGAGATCCATGCTGTTCACTCGAGTAAGCTCTGCATTGAAAACCTACCTGTGTGCACAGTCCCCTCCAGAAACCTGTGTGTGTCAAACTCTAACATAGTGCCCTGACTCCCCTAAGGTGAGAGTCAGTAACCTTCCAGGAAGGACTTCTCTACTCAGGTGTGGAGGGTTGAAATGCACCTGTTCATCTGAAGGAAAAGGTAGAAAAGTAAGGATCATTTGGGGATCCAAAAGGGAGGGAAATTGGACTGAGTAAATATAGAGAGAAGGAAGTTGACACTTTAGTAAATAAAATTAATTTTAGTGCAAGAATGTATAAAAGAGCATACAGGAATAGTATTGCAGGTATATTAAACAGACCAAACATCATCTAGATATGCTTTATTTCTTTTCTTTTATATTGTGAAGTGAAGGCAGTTCCAGCTAATATATGTACGCATACACACGTGTGTGTGTGGCCATGCACATGCGCGCATGCGCATGCGTGTGTTTGCACAGGGGCAGATCCAGAGGGGTGTACTTGTGCAGTTGCACCCTTCCCCCTTTGATTCATTCTCCACTCAATGTTTAAAACCAACTGCCTGGCAGTGGCAGCAGCATTTCTTGCCAGGCAGTGATGAGCGAGTCCACTGACTTCCTGGCTCTTTGTCATCTCCGGGATTCCTTCTAAACTCTTCATCCCACAGGTGTTAATGACCTTCTCTCCTTTTTAATGGTCTTGATGTTCCATCAATGAAGCCAGCCTTTGTTCTGTCATTCTCCTGTCTGTTCTCTGCTCCTGGTAATGAGCTCCTATTTTACAGCCCTGCAGACTGTTTTTAAATCATTCCAACAAAGTTATATTTGTTTTTGCTTTGATCTTAAACTGAATAATACAGCCTAAGGCCCCTAGCATATTAGTAAAGCTTCTAGTTTATTTTTAACTGGAGAAAAATACATGTTGTTTTATATGTGATGATGTACATCACCATCTGCACCCCCATTTTCAAAATCCTGGATCCATCCATGTATATGTCTGTGGGTTTGTGTATATTCACCAGTCTGTGAGCCAGTGTGTCTAGCCAGCTTCTTTGAATATTAACATATACAGCATTAAATGGATAATACAGGTGATAAATTATAAGAATAGTTGTATATTATGTTGTAAATATGTAATAACTCCAAATTCATGCAATCCCCATATATTACTCCAGTATCGGAGGTTTTTTCTATATCTGCCTGAATTTTAAAAAAAAGTTTTTGTTTAAAAAAAGCTGCCCCGTGTCTCTGTGCGCATGCCCCACTTCCCTCTATTTTGTGTGGTGGAGGGGGGTCTGTGCCTGTGCCCCACTGCCCTCTCTTGGAAGGAATCAGGACTGTGCCGACATATGACAGACCCTGCAGCCAGAGTGGCTTGTGAGACTTGCTGCCACGAGGAAGCTCTGGGAGTGGCAGCAGGAGGGAGCAGCACACTGACTCTGGTGAAGTTCCTCCAGGCTGATGCTTTTCGAGACTCTCCATCAGGGCTGAGCACTGCTACCTGGGCATAGGCAGATGGGAGCATGGGGAACCTTGCAAATGGCACCCCAGAAGTCAATGGGTCCATCCTAAGTGGGATAAGAGCAGGTCATGGGGACGTGTCTCCATCCACCCTGCCCTGCTGCCTGCTTGGCAATCAGCCGCTGGCTGCACCTCAGCAGAGAGAGGGGACCTGACGTGGGTCTGGGATGCAGTTGAGCTGCTGAACATGTTTTCAGCCCCTGGTGCCCCTTTCTGAGCCAGAACTGTATGTCTATGAGTCACTCCTAACCAATCGGAGGCAAACCAGTTCCATTGTATAACCTCATGTAATCTGGAGGTAACTCCAGGCAACGGCCCACGTGCCTGAGTCTGGGGAGGCAGTGGAGAGGAAAGACACCCACCCAGGGGATGGCTGTGGCTGTCATGAAAGTCTCCTGGTGTAGTGGGACCCATATAGCAAAGTGATCACACACTTCCTGGGGAAACCAGGGCAAACCCCCAGAGATCACTTATGAGGGAGGCCCCCATCTCGTATCAGTCCCATTTGTGCCATGCAATCCAGCATCAGCATCATGGCATTGGATATTCAGGGCTGCTCTGGTTCTGCCACAGACTCCCCATCCTCCTCCTGAAAGTTAAACATTTCCTTGTCACTTGTCAGTGCTCCACAGGGGCTGTCTCCAGAACTGCAGGGCAGGCAATGGCCCCCATCACCTGAGAGCTAGACAGTGGCCTTGGAGTTTGGCTCCTGATGTGAACACTCACCCTGGGGCAGGATTTGTGTCTGGGGGTGCCACGCCCCACTTGCCCATCAAGAAAGGACTCTGCTCAGGGTGGGTGTGCATATGGCAGGGTGCAGCAGTGCCCAGGGCATCTGGAGTGAGTGTGCATGGCATGTCCCAGTGGAGATCTCCGCATTACACACCACCCACCTCACATGAGAGGTGATCCTGCCTTTGCCTGCTGCAACCCACTCCAGCTGCAGGGGCACGCCCCAGCTGCCAGGGCCTGAGCATTTGGATTAGCTTGTCCTCTGCCCTGCAGTCCCCTCCTGGGGCTCACATGACTAAGGTGAGACATCAATAGCTGGGCATCCCCTTGTCCATGAGAATCCTGCCCTCCTGCCCCAGCCCAGCCCCGGCTGCCAGGCTGGGAGGAACTGGGGCAAGGGGGGCCTGTTACAGCTGGGTGCAGAGCTGAGGCAGAGCAGGCAACCAAGTGAGACAAACGCAAGCCGGGCAGGAGATGTTCAATGAAATATTAAGCAGGCTGAGAGGCCTCATAGCAAGCAGGGATAATTGGATGTGACCAGTGATTGCAGTGCGCAGTCTCAGGAAAGGAGGGGGCAGCTCGCTTCACTTCACCCTGTCAAGACAGAAACCTCTTCCTCCCTCAGCCCTCACACACCAAGCACATATGGCTCCCTTACACTCTGGGCTGGGCAAACACCATGCCACGCGGGATTCAGGAGGGTGGTAGTGCCAGCACCATCCCTGTGGTCTGAGATGCCTTCTCCACAACACCCATGGACAAGTGTGGGCTTGAGAGCTAGTGTATGGGGCCAGGAATGGCCTGTCAGGGCCCAGTGGGATTCAGGAGCTGCCTTCCCAGAACAGATTTAGCTTACTGGTCACCACCATAAGGCAGGAGGAAGAGACCACAATCCTGTATATCAGTCAGATGGTGATACAGCCTGCCAGTCCCACCTAACTCAGGCCCTGGGCCAGGGTTTCCCTTCCCAGAGCTGACATACACCAGTGGAAGGAGGCTATGAAGGGTCTTGAGGGCTCAGTCAGGCAGCGCATCCTGGGCTACCTTCCTCAGCTGTCTGGGAGAGGCTGAGGTGGCACAATACTGTCCCAAGAAGTCATCCTGGGCAGGCTGCCTGCAGAGCAGGCAGATGAAAGCAGCCATCCCCTCATTAGCAGCTGTCCTGGAAGGCTGGGAGCCCTGAGCTGTGATGCCAGCTCAGTTTCCATATGAGTAGGTGGCAGTCTGCCACTATGATGCACCGCCACGATCTTAACAATGCTGTATGCAAATTTGGTTTGTGATTGGCAAGATTCAGAGCAGGCCCCTCTCCTCCATGCTTGTGCAGCTTCTAGTGCAGCGGGGGGCCTTGGTTTTCACCTGGGACTCTCAGCTACTCCCCCAGCACACAGAGCCAGCAACTGTAGCCAAGGACCGCACCTAATAATGGAGCTACTCAGACCTCCCCTCATGCTCAGCTCTCCCCACTGACTCCTGTCTCTCTCAGCTCTCCCCCCTGACTCTTCCTGCTCTAGTCCCACAAGCCTCTCATCCGCATGGAGTGGGGTGGCAGGGGTAAGGGTGATATCAGCCCTCCCTAAGGAGCATAGAGGGGTCTGTCCCAGGGAATTCAACAGTACATAAAACAGGCACATCCCTGTTCCCTGGTGTGTTTTGGGTAGAGGGGAGATGAGGGGAGGATAACTCATTAGGGGCATCAGGGAACGAGCATCCTAACTCCAGGCCTTCCATTCTCTCTCCGCCACTATTTCACTCACAATCAGGTAGCAGGTTTCCCTGACCCCAGGCTGTAGGGACTGAAGGCTTCTGTAACACTTCATCTTGGCCTCGCATGCATCAGGGGACACCATGGGTACAGGGATATGGACGGGAAGCAGGACTGCGTTGGGCAGTGCCTGGCACAACAGGGCTCTGCCTGTACTAGAAAGGATTGCCAGCCTGGCAAGGGGAGGGGGAGCATAGCTGGAAGGAGGCAGCAGTGTGATACACTTGAAAGGAAACACTGCTCCCTCAGGGCCCTGGATTTTCAGGCCTGGAGCTTCCCATTGGCATATCTGCACCCAGCTGTCCCCAAAACCAGGCTGCAGTCTCCCCCAGCAGGACCTTCCCTTCAATTAGCTCTGTTTCCCAGCCAGCAAGGAGCCTCCTACGTCGTCTCACCTCCTCAGCTACTCATGGATGAGGATCTCAGGACTGGAAGCAAAGCTGGCACCCACAGCACCCTAAGGAGGGGATGGAGCAGGGCAAACAGATTAACACACAATGCCATAAACACAGGTCACCCCCCTTCCACTGGGGCATCAGGCGCAGCACAGCTGGCAGGGAGGATGCAGGCAGGGCTTCAGACTGGATCTCTTCAAGTGAAAAGACAGCATGGAGATGGGGTAGGGGGCAGGGTGGCCATGCCTGTGGAAACAGCCACAGTGAAAGGGCAGATTAAGTCCTTCTCCGACATGGTTTCTGTCCCCCATTTCAGTCCCTTCCTGGTCATGAGCAGCTTGGAGCAGCCCTTAGAGCCCCAGGGTGACAAGCCCACAGGTACAGATCTTGTAGGGCCCGTGAATGCAGAAGGTACTTGGGTTTGCAACCTGGTCCCTGCCTGCAAGATGCAGGTAGTGGGATCCATAAATCCAAGGGTTTTTTGGGGTGGTTTTATTTGCCTTTCAGGAGTAAGGGTGGGGGGGGGCGGGCACTTCACCATCACTGGTGCTCCCTGTGTCCCATTTGGCAGAAAGTAATGCCAAGTCATATCTCCCTCTCCCACACTTCGGGGAGTGAGTATAACCTGAACTGCTGGTGATAGACACCAGATTAGTTCTGTGCTGTTCAGAGGCATTGGCTCACTCCCAGGCAGAAACAGCAGCAGCCCTCAGGACCCACTGGGTCAACTGCCCTGTTATTAGGTCAAGGCCCTGTGGTGAAATGGCCCGTTGTTGTGTGCTGTTGGTTTCTGTAGCAGGATGCCCATTTGTAAGGACAGGGCAGTTTTCTTCATAGGTCCTAAATCTGGATCATGACACAGAATCAGAGCATTCCCCATCCCTCCACCCCCACCACAGAGCTTGCCCCCTTCCCAGCTGTGTACTTGGATAGGTATTCTTGGTATCCCATGTCAGAGGCTGGACCCTGAAATTATATCTTGTGGCCAAAGAAGCCTCATTCAAGAAAGTCTCTTTCCAGGTTTTTCCCTTCTGTCTGTACCCCACTGAGAGGCCAGCCCAACCCACTTCTAAGCAGACCATCATGTCCAGCCCTGAGAGACTAACCATAGCCTTCCCCATCAAACCCACCCTTTGAGCAACCCATTCATCCCACCACTGTAGGCACACTCCGATGGATTCCTTCCCAAACCCCTTCATGGGCAGGACAGGGTCATCCACTCAGGAGAGAGATGAGGCAGGTCATCAGGGGTGGGACAGGTGGGCCTCTTGAGGATGACCTCTATGTCTCCATGCAAAGGACTGAAGGGGTCTCTTGGGACACAGAGGCAGGACCAGTGTGCCTCTTATATTGAGAACCCCCTTAGATAGTAATATTAGAAGGAGCTCTTATTTCAAGGTAACAAAAGCCTATTAAGAAGAGCAAGGCCCTCCACTCCTTCTGTCCTGGGCCAGCACAGCCCAGCCCAGCCCAGATTCACATATCAGTTGCCCCAAAGCTTGAGGCAAAACTCCAGGTGACCTACAGGCTGAGGTGTGGTTGTGGAAGGAGGCCTACAGTATCCCACTGGTGCCCAGAAGGGTAAACCCAGGTGTGGGTTGTGGGTCTGCAGCGCAGTGGAGTCAGGTTCACATTGAGGTGGGTTTCTCATCATGTTCTCCAAGGGCAGAGACGCACAGCTTAGGCTTACAACTGCCTTTTCTCACACTGGCCAGGCAATGGAGATCTCTTATCCAGTTTCAGTTCTCATGTCTTACCTCCCTGGGATGTGACTGCTGGGTTGTTGCCCAGGCCATCCCGCTGCTCTGCCTGCAGTCCTGGCACCTCTGCCCTCTGACAGCTGGGCTCCAGCTCTGCTTCCACGACCCCCTGGAACCATGCGAGCAGCATGCCCTAGAATCAGGTTAGCTCTGCCACATAAGGATGCATGCAGAGAAAAAAGGCAGCAGCAGGAAGGTCCCAACAGGGCAGGGAGACAGAAATGAGAATGGCACAATGAGTTCCACAGCCTGGGCTGAGATGATGGGGCCATGCTGCAGCTCCCAGAGCCCTTTGTCCAGGCTGCCTGCAGACTCAGGCAGGCACTGCTGCACAGGTTCCACTCAGACCCCCGTCGCTGCCCTCCCATGAGGGGTTGGTTATGTTGTCTAACCCTGGATCTCTCACACCCAGCCCTGCCCTGGGATGGCCACAGGTTGATTCCAAAAGCATTCACACTGTTGTCTAAGCATCCCTGGTTGTGGGTTACCCTGCCTTTACCCCCTTCTCCTTTGCAACCCCTTACTCCCTGCCAATGCCATAGCAAGAGGGAGCGAAAGGGGTGACTGCCCCGGGTGCTGAAATGAAGTGGAGCCAACAGGCGCTGCCCAGCCAGGGCAGGGTGCAGGATGGAGCCAGGAGTGGTTCATTTCAGGGAGGGGGGCATGTGGGGACAGGGGAAGGGCGGCTCCTGTTGCTACGTGCACCCCTGGGCAAGCATGGTGGGGACATGTGCCCCCAGATCTGTGTGCAGAGTGAGGGTGGGCTGCTGCTCGGGCTTTGCCCCAGGTGACAAACTTCGTTGCCATGGCACTGCTCCCTACTGTTGGGTACAGCCCTTCCACTCTCTGCCCCTGGAGACATCCACACTGCCATACAGACAGGAAAAAGACCACAGTAAAGCAAAGATTTTGCCACTTATTTGTTGTGGCGTGTAGGGCACAACTGACCTGCCCGTGGGCATGAGGAACATACGCCAGGAAGCCTCAAGGGGAGTCCTTTGCCTGGGCTGAGCATGAGCAAAATGCTGCACTGCATGTGTGGGACCACAGTGCTCTCTGGTGGCACTCTGGTGCTAACAGCAGCCAGGCCCCTCCACCCCATGAGTAAAATTTTACTAAAGTTTTTGCTGGGCTGGGAAGGAAATTAAAAAAGAAAGAAAACATGGCTTCGAGCCAACCAAAAGTATTCACAAATTGGTGCCAAAGTTGATGTTTTGTTTCAGCTCAGGGATGAATCCGAGGAGGAGCAGGGGAGTGTGGCAGCACAGTCCCACCCCTTTCAATTCCTCCTCCACGCCTGACATCTTTGGGAGCCAAGATCCACTGTTGTTTCAGGTCAATCAAAAACATTTTCCCCTGCTTTGGAAAAAGACAAAAGGTTTCATTTTCACAGTTTTTAAAAAGAAAAGTTGAAAGCTTTTCATTTGAAAAGGACATTTTGCTTCAAAATGTCCCTACGTTTGATCAAAGGGACTTTAAAAAAAATTCAACAGCAACATAAAATGTTTTGGTCAACCCAAAACAATGTTTTATACATAGGTGTGTATTTATGTATGTGTGTGTATATATGTTACATGCGCACACACATATATCTACACATGTGTGTATATACACAAACATATACACACATACATACCCCCATATACATATATAATACACACATGCACATACATATACACATACACACATACAAACAACCCACATATGTACATGTGTGTGTGGGTGGGTGTTAACTTGGGCCAGTACACCAGAAAAATCAGTAACCGCCCAGCTTCATCTCACTGTAATCCGCTGGCCCCTCTGTGTCATTGCTTGAGCTTCCTGGTTGTGTTTCTGTTCCCTAGGTAACTCCCTAGGCAGCTGCTCCCTGTGCCCAAGGTGGTTAGGTCTCCCCAACACCTCACTGTGCCATGCAGACTTACCCACAGTGCTTTGGCGCACCTGGGCGTACAATGGCCACGGGCAGATGTATGCACACAAAGGCTCTCCACAAGTGCTCAGTGCATGTACAAATGAGGAGAGAACAGGCAGGGAATCCCCACACATTTGCCCATCTGTGTTCACTCCCTGGACCAGAGGGGGCTGCCATGCACTGAGTCAGCTACATGCTGTTCAGGCCATTTCTCCTGCCGCCTTTGCCTGCAAAGGTGGCAGCAACCAGCATACCTGTTCAATAAGGGGCTGTCCTACTCCCATGAACCATTCTGTAGGGGAAGGAGCTCCACAAGCCCAGCCCAATGCATGGCTTCATTTCTGTCTTTCTAGTGCTTGGTCCTAGAGGTGGCACCAGCCCCAAATCTGGACTACCCTCGCAGCTTCTGAGTATGGATATCCTAGCAAAAGAACCCCTTCTAGTGTGCACAGACACCTACAGCAATTCAGGGTGCTCTCAGATCAGTGATTTTTCCTTTCCTGAACATTAATTGAGCAGTGAGACTGTATTGCAACTCCTGGGTATTGGCATGGCCAGTACTGTTGCAGGGGGGTCTGCCAGGTGACACATCTGAGATGAAGGGGACATGGGCATTGCCCACCCCAAATGCATTAGGGGATCCCAAGAACTCATTCCTCTCACTGGGAGGCTATAAGCTATACCAGGTCTCCCACTGTTAAATGTGAGATCCCTATGTAAGACTACCTGTGCCTGGCACACTTTGGGCAGAGCCATGGCATGATGCCAGCATCCAAAGCATAGAGGTGTGGGGCATCCTGGAGCTCCCTGCACCAGGAAGATCTCAGAGAGCTTTACAAATCATTGGCATTATGTTTTATTGGTTAGGGACTCTACTGCTTGGCCCTCATCTACCAAATCTCCCAATCCACACACAACTAGACTATCCAGGGAGCACTGCCCACCACTGAAATGCAGCCACCTCTGGGATGTAGCACTGCACACACACACAGCAGAAAGCCACGAAAAGCCCTTCTTCAGAAGCTGGGGGGACGGGAGACATAATGGAATCAGCCCAGCTGGAGTTGTTAGCCACCAGGGTGACCAGAAACTGGCAGGTACACCTCATCTGTTGGACAAGAGCACTAATACCTCTGCACTGGCTGTCACACTGGGGTGCTGGCTTTGTGTTGGCTGGAGAGATACATGGCTTACTGCCACCCAGACCCTCCTTGTTAAGCACCATGCATTGTCATTGGAGAAGGGGTGCAACCAAACCTGGGAGGCTTGTTAGCAACAGCAAGGGAGATTCTGACCCTCCCACTACAGTGAGGACAGTGTCCTGGGAGGTCCCTGCCATGAACCTCCCTCAGCTCAGTGCAGGCCCACAAACCATGCTGATTTAGGAAAGGCAATCCCCAGCTCCATGGGCAGTAACAGGGGAGGGGAAGAGAGGGGAGCTGACAACTAAATTCCAGAAAGAGCTTCAACCATCAGTAGCATCTGCAAGAAACTGCCCTGCCAGCAGCCCCCCAGCTGATGGAAACCTATTCACCCCCCAGAGAGGCAGGGGGGAGAGTGCATGCAGCTGGCTGTGGGGCAGGGGTGATATTGACTCCATTTGCAACCTGTGCCCAGTCTGATGCCACCAGGCCTCCAAGGGCTCCCAGGCAGGGGGGTCCTGGCAAGACAGGTCAGCCCCTCTCCCCACTGCTATGCCAGGCAGCTGGGATCTCACCTCCGGCCTGCAGCAGGGATGTTCCCAAACCATGGGGATGCCTTTCTGAGGGCCTGTGCCCACTCCACCTCCTTCAGGGGCTGTTTAGACACCCATTTGCCTCTCTGCTTTGTGCATCCCCAGGTCACAGCAAAGCTGACTCACTCTCAGGCTTTGTCCTTGGCATGCTCTTCCAATTTTCTCCTCGGTCACGAGGGGGCAGGAGTGAATTGCTAACCAGCAGGGGTTGCAGCCAGAGGCATTGGCACTTGCTGCCCCAGAAGCAGAGGGGGGCATTGATTGCCAGGATTAAGGGAAAGGGCATGGCCCAGACCAGCTGCCAGAGCTGCCCTGCAACTGAGAAGTTCTGATCTGGCAGCTGACTGCAGCCACCTGAGCACTGAGTTTCATAGATCCTATTCCAGGGTTTGTCCTGATGACAGGGCACTTGCACTGTGGCATCAGCACAGCTGGATCTGCCAGGAGCCTCAGGCTGGAAAAAGGGAAACTACAAGGTCTCTATTTCTTGAGGTTTTAAGAGTAGGCTGGGCAAATGTGTGTTAGGATGGTTTGGGGCTGGTGATCCTGCCTCAGGAGAGGGGCAGAGCAGAGGTCGACTCAGCATCCCTTCCAGCCCTGTTTCCTGTAGTTCTGTGAGTGACAGGGAAGGCTGTGTGTTAGGACTGAGGAGCACCAGCAGAGAGCTACATGGGCTGAGGGAAAACCCAGGACTGGAATTGCAGCGGGGGCTGGAGGCAGAGGTGGGTTGGGTGGACAGAGTTGGCATTGCAGGGGGGGCAGGTCAGACTGGAGAGGCCTCAGCAGAGTTTCTGGGCCATGAACCACAGGTCCTATGCTGGACTGTGGATGGATGTGCCATCCCCTGAATCACAGCTGGTTACAAACTTGAATCTGTGGGTCTTTCTCCTCCAGTGGCAGGAGCAACCCAGTGAGGACAAATGCACTGCACAGCCTGGCTTCCAGCACCCTAAACCATGGCATGCTTGGGGCTGTCTCTCTTTTCATTGGCACCCCCTCTAGTATACACAGCCACAGGAACTCCAACCAGGTGGATCTGCACCCACAGCCCACGACTCCCAGGTACGCCCAGCCTGAGGAAGAAATACAGATGACAACAGTGCCACCTGCTGCAGAAAGAGGGGAGCTGCTGTCTGCAGCCTGGACACCCATCCTTCGCCAGGCTTCAGCTGCTGCAGCCTTCACCTCCCTGGCAAGGCCAACTGCTGAGCTGATCCCCAGAGGGTGCCCATCAAAGGGAGTGGTCAGCATGTGCCAACAAGTAGGCAGAGACTCTGGGAGGGACTCAGTGCCCACACAGACACGGCCAGGCAGAACAGAATCTGCCTTGGCCAGGAGCCGGCCTGGGAGGGAGATTCCTCCACAGGGTGTGCACTGAGCTCTCACCCTTCACCCCTTCCACCCTCAGCGCCCTCTGATGCTGATCTGCACAGCACAGCTCACAGCACTCAGAGCTCACAGCTGGGGCCAGAGTGGGAAAGGGGCTGCAGGTCAGGATTGAGGGGCACTGGCAGCACTGTATGCTGAACCCAGGGCTCAAATATTAAGGGGCTGTGAGTCAGGATTGAGGGCCATCACCAAGGGAGTCCCTGGTTTCCAAGAGGACCTCATCCAGAGCAGGTGTTGACAATGCCCATAGCTAAAAGAGGGGCCTCTTTGGTCACACACACACCAGCTCCATGTGGTGGCCCAGCCTAGGTTTCAGTGGTTAGAGGCTATCACCCTTGCACCCAAGTGCCCATACAGTGCCTAGTGCTGGCAGCCTCCTCTATGGCAACATCCCACCAGCATCAAGGGAGGCCTGTCTGAGCAGAACAGCACCTGGGCTGGCTCTGGCCTCTGGAGAATGAAGGGGGATAGCTGCCCTCCTCCTCAGGTGTATGTGTGATATAGTGTGGCTGCCCCCTTGGGATGTGGGTGTGGGGCAACAAGTGATGCCCTGGGGACAGTAATTGCTTTTCTGAAGGAACT